AGGAAGCGAAGATATAAGTTTGGATTCCGATAATGAGTACGAGCCTAGTCCAATTCTGGAGAGGAAGATGCAGTGGGCGAGAAAGTTCAAGCATAAGGGCTGAGGGTGGTAGAGCGTTAAATCCAATAGCTGGTCCTTGTTACATAGAGCGCTAAGTATTTAAGACAGTAATCACGAATAGCGCGGTGAGGATGCTACAGGCAAAACCAACGTACTGTGTATAAGACTGCAGGCTTATCGGACGATTTCTACGGTATTCTATATAACGCTGAATTGTTGATCATCTGTTCCGACAGTCCAAGACCAATGGAATGCGGAACGGATTGGGTCAGATTTCATATATCTGCTGTTAGTACAGATTAGCTAGCTAACTTGAAAAAGCCGACAGAAGCTTCAAAGAACACCAATTAAACTAAGTATGTATTGCATCAAAATGGAGGTGCTGGCACTGTATAGACATGCTTATTGTTAATATTCCTAGTTTAAGGAAGTTACCGTTTATGGTAGAAGGGGCGGTATTTTCCAGTAATCAGGGTAATTGGTAGATACCGTGATTTCATGAGTTATTTCCCTATCTGTAAGCAAATATTGTAGAGTATATTATTCGATAATGTTGGAAATCAATTGTTCTGGTGTATAAAGATAGCGCACCAAATGCAACCGGAGTAGTTCTATACCAGTTCTACGTTAAAAACTATAGCTTAGAATGACAGTACTGTAACTACTACAGCAACTCAACTTAGGTAGCTAATGCAGCCACAAGATTTTAGGTGTTGTGCTAACTAAGTTAGAGAAGCAAGGTTTGTACAGGTTAAATGATGTCGTCTTGAAATCGATGTCGTCCGGCATCTTTGGAAGATCTTGGCATTGTTGTCCACAACAAACATCTGAAAGACGGTTAGGCTCTCTGCACACGGTATCAGAATGACCTTGCGAATTCACATATCACATCAAGCTCGTAACATCTTATCATGACCACTCCTTGGAGCTTGAGATATAGGTGTTATGTGATCATTGTCATCGAGAAGGAGGATTGTGCAAGTACTCGCTGCCCAATCATTCAACATCCCTCATAAGCATGTCATCTGCTCGTATGTTGTTGCACGTTGATGATTACTAAGAAGCAATGTCAATCGGAACTTGCAAAATCTCTCTATTTCTTGGATGTTTTGGGGTCAAGATCTCACTAAATATGGGTTATATTCGAGCAGGGGGCGTTAATATCTGGTTGTACGCCACAGTTCTCAGTTGCCTGTGTGATTGACAACCGCTTATGGTCGATATACTCCTTACAGAGTAAATACAGTAACAAATTTATAGAGGGTCCCAATATCTACTTTGCTTTACTTATCAATACGAACTACAAAATCCCCCGAAGATCTCTGTGCACAGAGTTCTGGGGCGGTTCTCTTGCGAATTTCCTGGGTTTCAGTTTCTTACACGTCCCGCTGTCAGCCAGGAGGTCTTACTATGCCAAACTGCGTAAAGCGCGATTATTGTCTAATGCACCTGTTACTGGCCCCCACTCAAATATCTCCACCGCAACTTGTAAGTCGCAACATATCAAGTGTTGATCTACTACTTAAACAGCCCCGAGCTTTTTTGTCATCTTGGATGCAAGATATCTTAATATAGGAGCGTGTGGTAGCGGTGTGAACTGCCAATTTCGTACAGTAACTTTCTCGCACATATGGACCTACCGGTTTCACACTCGTGATATTGCATGTTTACATCCCCACTCGAGTGCGACAACACAATATATACTATACTATCAATCGATATCAGGACTAATCCAGATACGGTATATGCGACAATACGACAATGTCTGACCCACTGTCAATCGTCTCGGCAGTATTTGGCCTAGTTGCAATATCTGCCCGGCTTGGTGTCCTTTCCAAGCAGCTGTACGACTCTGCGAAAGACGCACCGGTATCCATGGTACAGATCCAACAGGAAATAAACGATCTACACCCAATTTTCATAGAGGTGGGGTGATTCATACGAGGCACCACGAAGAAAGAGACTAGCAAGAGAGGGCTCTCTATGATCAGCTTGCATCATTTGATGACTATTTTGACTAGCTGTGTTTTGGTATTCTCGAAGCTCGAGAAGAAACTAAATGAGGTTGCCAGGTTGGTGGATCCTACTACAACAAAGCCTGCACGGGGATTACAATGCACTGTGGATCGAATCAAGTGGGCCTTGTGGAAAGAAGCAGAGGTTGGCGTGATTCTCGGAGACTTACAGAGGCACAAATCAAGCTTGCAGCTCATGTTGTCTATGATTCAATGGTACCTATCCCTTTTTTTTTTTTAAAATACTCATTACTCCTATTCGGTCCCAGTAAGGGGGCCATGAGGAGCCTACCTATCCCTGTTTCAAATCACGATGAACATTCAGATTGCTGAGTCGATCTAGAGTATTAATGAATTAATCCAGCAATACCGCATCCGAGGCAAACGAGCGTTTGGAGAAGCTACAGGGGCTCGTGGAAATGATATTAGGAACCTCCATCCAGTTGCAGGCACTTATCAGCCGACAGTCAAATGAACCGCCAGCTCACGGCACTGCAGAGTCGGAGCACAATATTGACCCCAGCACTATTCCAACTAGCGACGCTTCTTCATCAAGATGTGCATCTGGACGCGCTTCGCGTCTCTCGGTTGGTCAAATTGACGGGGCCTCTATCCGGACGACCAAAACATCATTCTCTTTACAGTCCGTGCAATCCTTCACCCGGGAGCTCTTCCGTTCAAGAGCCTACAAACGCCTTAGCTCTCATAGAGCTGGCGCTGGTTCTAGTGCTGAGTCTATCTACTCCAAGAGTAGTAGTGCAACCAAGGGAGACAGATGGTCAATGCTATCAGACATTTCTCTGGGTGCCCTGGCAATATCTGAAATTTCCGTTCTGGAGCTGCCAATTTGCAGTTCTGACTTGTATGATTCACAGCCCTATGATTTAGCTGAGGAAGCTACATCAGCCGAAAGGCCCAACGGTATTCATGCTCAGCATGCTCCGTAGGGGGTTGTTACTGTGGCCTTCCCGTGGCAGGATTCATACCGCTATTAGGACGAATGACGAATCCTTATTACGTACCTTAATTACATTGGGAGCTGATCTTGAAGAGAAAGATCCAGAAGGACATACACCATTGATTGTGGCGATCCGCAACAGCAATTCTAGAGTTTGTAGAACCCTATTAGATATAGGTGTAGAAGTGGACACTCCTGACTCTTCCGGCATCACGCCACTGATACATGCTATAACGTTTCGTGATGACGACCCTGACGACGCCCTTTATATAAACCAGGGCTTGCAACTGAGGCTCTGTGAATTGCTGGTGGATGCAGGCGCGGCGGTCGATACACCCGATTCCTCTGGTCGTACACCGCTGGCGCATGCTGCAGGTAGCCAGACTTGGGCCGAGTTAGGCCTCTGCGAATTTCTCATAAATAAAGGCTCTGCAGTCGATACACCCGATTCCACTGGCCGTACACCGCTATCGTATTCTGCGTGTAGCCAGACTGTACTCGGCTTCGAAGTCTGCGAATTTCTCCTTGATGAAGGTGCAGCAGTCGATACACGCGATTCCTCCGGCCGTACACCGCTGTCATACGCTATGTCTGCTCAGAGTTTGCACAACCATGAGACTTGCAAACTTCTTGTTGAAAAAGGGGCAGCAATCGATACGCCTGATGCTGCCGGTCGCACCCCGTTATCATATGCTGCTAATGGTAACCGGTGGAGTAATTTTAAATTGCTGGTAGATAAAGGTGCAGAATTGGATAGGTCGGATTTCTCAGACCGCACGCCGCTATCATATGTTGCGGCCAACTAGCACCAAAATTGCCAAATTCTTGGGCAGTACCTAGTCGATACACGCGATTCCTCTGGCCGCACACCACTGTCGTATGCCACCTCGTCTCGAGGTTCAGCTGCCCTCGATATTTCTAACATGCTGATTGGTGCAGGCGCAGCAGTGGACACACCCAATTTGTATGGGCGCACGATATTGTCATATGCAGCTGCAACGGGCGCCAGAGAGGAGTTAATTCTTGCCACTGCTTACATATCGTAAATGGCGCTGGTTTCTTTGAGGGAGACCACCTGTGGTGGATATATATATTTACAAAGACACCCGTATAGCGCTTTGCACACTACTCCTTGATAAATACGCGAAGACACGACCGACAGCGCTGGTCACTCCCCCTATTGGTACGCTCATGATGCAAACAGCAGCGAGATTTGTCAGTTTCTTGCTAACAGAGGTGCGAAGCAAGATATATAAGCGGAGAATTCTAGAAAGTTACATATCTAGGCAAAGCGCTGGCAGTGCTTGACCCTGGATATATATATATGTATCTGGGTAAATTGATCCTAGTGAGGCATGGACCCCCAGGGGAAATAGAATGTGAATCATTCAGTTGCCAATTTCGAATTTAATGATATCTCTTGTTTTTTATCTTTATTTTTATATCCAATTAATCACATCTCTGGCCGATCTTTTATGAGTTCCCTTTTTTCTTTCCAGTCACCGGGGTCTCATGACAGAGGGGTCAATATTTGTATTTAGCGCGTTGCCGGACTTGGCAGATAACCTGCCCTGTCCTACTAGAGAGTGCATATTTACGAGAAGAATTGAGATTGATATTCATTATCACACTGTATGATTCAAAAATCGCAGACTTTAAACATCTATCCAACGTCGCAAGACCTCCCCCCAATCCCAACCAATGGAATGCGGAACGGATTGAGTCAGTTTTCATGTATCTGCTGTTGGTACAGATTCGCTAGCCATTGTTCCAGCAACTTGAAAGGCCAACAGATGCTTCAAAGAACTCCAAGTAAACTAAGTATGAATTGAATGAATATACATGTAGTAAATCCTTTTGCTTTAGTTCACCCGTATGTAATGTACGTTAAGTAACTATATTCACCGGAAGCTTAATTCAGTATCACAATATAAGAGTCTAGGAACTGAAACAATATACATCCACTAGCCTCCTTCACTTAGTTGGTAGAGTATCAGTCTCATATGGCAAGAAATGTGTACACTGAATGTTATCAGTTCAATCCTGATATGGGGCATTTCCGGTTCTCCAAATTGGATGTTATTTTTATTTTTATTTAAATTGTTGAGGGATTGGGTAATATTAAGGACCTAGAAAAATCTTATAATACGAGCCTCTATTGGAGCATTGAAAACAGACAAAAAGGAATATCACATGTGGAGTTCAGTTGGAACCCAGTATTCCGATACATGTGGAAGTAACAAAATGAAACCTGGACAGAGCAGAAATTTGCAGTCAGAAGTAACCAAGGAAAAGGTATCTCTTTGATAACTTCGATAGCCAATCAGCTGACAAATAACAAAAGAAGCCACAAAAAGGAGTTTGTCACAAAAAAACCGATATCCCATCCCAGAAGCATGAAAAGATAAAAACTTAATCGATTGCCCATTCCCAACTCTCTAATCCGCCCTCTCTCCCCCATACGTCGGAAACCTCGGGTTCCCACTCTTCGATAGCTCCTGATACTTAAAAATAATTATAGCACCAATCTTCGGGGGCTTCGCCCTCTGAGCATCCGTCAACCCACTCCCAACCTTAAATATCGTCCCATTCGGTTTGTTCGTCTTCGCATCAAGCATTTCACACCACAGCGCTCCAACTACATTACAATTCTTTCCACTTCCTGGATTATACCCTCTCACAATGGCATCTGCGTCAAAAAACTTTTTAACTTTGAGCAGTGTGCGTGAGCGGCCATGGACATAGAGAGACCCCGGTTCGCGGAGCATCAATCCCTCACCCCCTTCGGAGGTAACCTCGTCGAGGACTTCTTGGATGTGGGCGTCGTCGCGCACGGGGAAGTGCTTAACTAGATTAACCCATTTTATCCTAAGCTTAACCTCGATGAGATTCTTCAAGAACGCGAGACGCTTCTCAAGCGGCAGGTGGCCCTTAGAGGGGACATCGAAGACCTGGTAAGAAACGCTAAATTTCCATCGATTTGGGGCGTCTTGGGTCCGCACGATGGAAACGCAGTCTTGGAAGCCGCCGCGCTTGGTAAAGAGCTCTCCGTCGAGGACAACGTCTGTGGGGAGGCGTTTTGTAAACCAAGCAGGAGCGCAGAAAGGGTTGCCTTCGCGGGAGATGAATTTGGTGCCGGTCCATATTGCGCGGACGCCATCGAGTTTTTCGGAAGCAAACCAGCCTTGGATGGAGATGGTGGGGCCGGGTTCGTATTTGTGCGCAAGGAGGGGATTGGAAGTGTATTGGGAGAGGTCGGCGGGTTTGGAGGTTGCGGCAGTGGCGACGGCGTGGACGGGTCGGGAGGAGGTAGTGGTGGTGGAGGTGGTGGAGGACTTTGTGGTACGGCTGCGTTTTGGGGCAGGAGCTTCTTCTTCCGCTTCTTCATCACCGTCATCGTCTTTCTCCTCCACTTCGTCCTCGCTGAGTTTTGCCTTCTTCCTTGCCACCATAATAGCAACTTGCTTCCCCTTCAGCGCTACAGCGTCAACCTTCGCCTTTCCTTTACCCTTTGCAGCTGCATGTTTCTTCGCAGCATCATCTTCCCCCTCCTTCTTGCCATCCTTTTCAGTTGCATCGTTGTCCTCATCCTCTGCATCAACTGCTTTCCTCTTCTTGCCATTGAGTCCAGTCACATCCAACCGCCACTCTTCATACTCTTCCCCTAAAAGCTCCTTTAGATGGTCGCATGAACGGCCACTGATGCGACGGGCGGAAATTATCCAGGAGGGGCAGGTACAGTGATCTGTATATTTGTAATATAGTTAGCATTTAAAACATGACTATGTATAAAGTAGAGACGGAGACGTGCAATTATCGGCGGAGCGCTTCATTGTGAAAGTAACTGAGCGAGTTTCGTTGTCCTTGAGGAGGACTTTTGGAGTGGGAGGCATTTCGACGATATTGGGCAGTATAGTTCGGGAGTTAAGAAAAGCTCGAAGGAAGACAGTTGATCAGGCCTCGAAAGTTAGGGTTTTAATCCTTTTTATCGGTTCTTGCTCACTGCAGAGGTTTACCTCCGTGACTTTATACCCTTCCTTCTTTGTTAACCCTCACTGCCTCGAGTGCACAAAACATAACAAGACATATCTGGTATTCATTAATTTGCTGCGCACAACCCAAACTACTAGGCCCATAACAAGACATCCTGTATGCATGTAATTTTCGCGCAACCCCAAACCACGATCTGGCAGGGGTCCGCTTTGCGCAAGTGACTCACTGCGTGACATGTACGCGAGTGGATCATGTCAGGGTAGAGTGCAGCTTCTCGCACATAGTTTGATTGGACAATTCCTAGTCGAACGTGCAACGCGCTCGGAGGACGACGCGTTGAGTGGAAATGACATGCATAAGGGTGAAGCGAACATTTGCGCCCAGGAAGAGTCATAGTGTAGAGTCATCCATGAGGATATGCGAGATATGCCTGCCGGTCTCATAGATGACTGATGGCATGGCTGGATATTATCTGAGTGCGAGAATGAAAATCAAACCTCTAGGTATAGCAAATTCCGACGAACAAAATCCCTTGTCTCTCTATCTTCTAGGTTTTGTGGATGGGGAACTACTAGAAAAACAAATAAGAGGAAAAAACAAATATGACCACGTTGGACGAATTAAAAATTGCAAAGAAAATAAGAGAAGCCATGAATACAACTAAATTCCTATTGAGACCCACTCACCTAGAAGAGCTTAAAAAACCTTAGGATCCTCCCAATGGCCCACCAAACCCCATTCTCCCTCGTCAGCTCCCAATAGCTTACCAACGCCAACTTTTCCCTTTCCCACATCGTCTCTTCCCCATTCACCCGGCTCGCCTCTATTGCCTCCTGCTCCTCCATCCTCTCGTCCAACTTCCTCATGTCAATGTTAATATTCCCTAATCCCAACGTCAATACCCCCGCAAGTACTGCAATTGGTAAAATCGACAAAAACGCCCATCGCACCCCCTCCTTGACCACATTTTTGATGACTTCTAGATCTTCGGGGGTGAGGTTATCGAAAATATCCCCTGCTAGCTTCTTGCCATCGGGGCCAACACTCGAGCTTGCTCCTCGCCGGCCACTTCCTTCCACTAAGCCACCAATTCCGCTTCCTCCGACTTTGTTGTTCAAAACGCTGCTCATGATTGATAATGCTACGGTTCCGCCGAGTGGATCAAAGAACTGTAGAGTCGCAACAATCTTTGCTAGCTCTTTCGGCTTTCGGGCAATAGCGTGTAGCGGAACTGGCATAATAGTGATGCCATTCCCGAAACCAGACATTGCCATCATCCCAAGAATAAACCCTTCGGCACGAATGTCTAGGGCGTACGTCAGCAGACCCAATGCAATCGGAACAATCAAACCGGTGCCGAGGAATATCGGCGGGTAGGTCTGCGCAGGATAGATATTGCACATATACATTGCTGCGTATACACCTGAGCCTAGACCGGGGATGTATAAGAGCAGCTGCAAGCCAGCTTTCTCTGGGGGATAGGCAGCGACGATGGTAAAGTATACGGCGATGAAGTAGAACATAGAGTAGAGAGCTACCATTAGATTGTCAGCTACTGATTACGTCATTGTTTGAAAGGAAAGCGACTTACAAACTCCTCCGGCAAAGTTCACGAATGCCAAAATGCAAACATCCTTGGAGTCGAATAACTTTAGAGGAATCATAGCCCTTCTGGTTTTTAACCACACTCCATCACTCTTACTCGCGGCCCACTCCTTCAGCCATCCATTGTCCTCCATGCCCTTTTCTACAACCATAAATAGCACCACGAAGACCGCACCCACAATTAGAAGTACAATGATCTGTGGTGAGTCCCAAGCATATGTAGCCCCGCCCCAAGTTAACGCCAGGATAATACACACACAAGCCACCAAGAACACGACCATTCCTTCCCAATCGACCACGGTCATCTTCTGTATGAAAGAGAGCTGGAGGTGGTGCACGACGGTAGCTTCAGAGGATGTTCGAGAAAGTTCCCGCTCTGTTTGCGCCTTCACTAGGATTGGTTGGAGGCATAGGTACGTAAGGACATGAGCAATCAAAGAGAGCGGCACGGATAGACCGAAGCAGTATCGCCAGTGCAACTGAAATGGTATTAGAGAATCCAAGCAATAGATGAGATTGCACTAGAAAACATGACACTTACAGAAGTTAGATAACCGCCAATGACAGGGCCAACGCCGAAACTTATACCCGCAATCAAAGAGAACAATGTATTCTGTAGAGCATTCTCTTTCAAGCTCACCTTGATCACATCAACGTCAGACTCAACCACTCGCTATACAAGTCAAGCCAGTGCTCACCTTGTCACCCAAGACAACAGTTGTGACTACCAACAGTCCGGAGCTACTAACTCCAGTGATTGCTCTTCCCAATAACAACATCCAAAACGTTTGGGCCCCAGCACAGAGCGTGGAACCCACCCACATTAATAGCAATGCAAACTGGAGCATACTGTGACGACCAAAAACATCACACAATTGACCAAACGCAGGAATGAACGCAGTGTAGGTGATCGTAAAAGCAGTAACGATCCATGATTGTTGTGATAGCTGACCTATTATATGAAATAAGTCAACCAACATATAACTAATTGTGCCCAGTGATTTAGGACCACCGAAGGTTAAATGTACATACCAAAGTCAGCTGCAATATGTGGTAAAGCAGTCGAAATGATCGTGACATCGATAGAATGTAGGAAAAATGGCAACACGAGTCCCCCGAGAAGTTTTGCACGATATTTCCATACCTCTTTCTTCTCTTGTTTGGTCAAGGGAGGTATACCGGCCTCTCCAGTCTTTTCCGAACGCCCTGTTGTATTAATGGGTTGGTGTGAACTTGGGGATAACTCTGTCGTCCCTGGTCGGGAAGCTTTATGCCCCAATGGTTTCAAGGGCTCCAGTAATCCTGGCTTTGATGCGGTCGATTGCAAGTCAGCCAAACTGATATTATCCATTCTGTGGGTTTCTCTATGACAGCCTTCAAATGCTTTATCTCGTTCCTAATGACACGAGGTTGTCGACCCATGGTACATATATATTGTTATCCTCGAGCGTTTAATAA